CATCTTTTGTAAACAACCAAATGAAACGACATAAAATTGTCACTTCACCTTTAATACAAGAGTCTAATCACAAACTGAACTCTTTAATATGCGTCAAAACATCTGAATGCAGTCATGCATGCGTGTGTGCGTGCGAGAGCGAGCTCCACACACGTACTGTAGGTGTGTGTGTTTAGCTGTTTGTGTTCGCTCTATGATTACCCATCTGTTATGTATTTACACAATAGCTGATGACGGTCTCATTGGTGTGTGCAGAAGGTCAGGACCACACTCACGTCTCAGAGGAGCTGCTGTGTGTGGAGAGCAGGCCCATATGCTGGGCTTTCATGAGTAGATGTGACGGATGGATCGAATGCCTGGGATATGTCACAAATGCTTATAATTAATCTGCTTTCACACAGAGCTGGCTGGGAGATTAGCCTGTTAGCATGGCTAATTACTGAAAAAAGCCATTTTAATACCTGGCATCCAATACTCATCTCCCTCACCTACTGTGTGTGTTTTTTCAGCCTGTCCTCAACGCTCTCAGAACTGTAGAGGTTACAAATAGAGACACGCAACTGTAGAGTAAAACGTCTTCATGTGTGTACAATAGCAGCTCTGAGATGGAAGGTACACAAAATATGCTGTCTTTATTATGTTAAATGTTTATATACTTCTTAACTGCTAGCTAAATTTCTACTAGTCTTGTAATCATAGTTAACTTTTGACTATTGACAAAATTCACGTTTTCAGCTTATTCTGGCTAAGAATCTCACACTTAGAAAAGCAGCTGTCGAAACAAGATGTATAACGTATCTATGATGCATAACATTTGTGAATATAAATGATATATATACAGTTACATAAGGGGGATGCGATTTAACAAATCCCATTTACCATAGTCATGAAGAAATATGAAGGGAATATGAAGAAACATACATAAAAAATAGCTTTTTGTCATAATTTTTGTGTGCTTTTTTACACCTTAAAAAAAAGCAAATACATTTAGAAATAATAATAACATTATTATTATTATTATTAAGTTTTTTAATTAACTGGCTGTCTAATACTAAAAATACAAAAAAATATTATTATTATGGTTTGTATTTATTGACTGACTACAATTAATAAATAAATAAACTAATAACACTCAAATTAATAAATAATAATAATAATAATGTTATTATTATTATTATAACTTGCTGCCTAATACTAAAATACTGCTGCTTCTACCAATAATAATTATGTCAATTATTAACTAATAATACCCCACTGAAAACAAACAAATAAACAAAAAACCTGAAACTAGTCTTAAGCTGTTTGGATGGTTTTATAGCTGGTTTGCAGGCTGGTTTTAGAGTGGTTTTGACCACTTTGACCATATATAAAAACACCACTAAAATCTGTACACTTTCAGGCTGCACAGTAATAATGCAACTGTATGAATGAATTTTTTTAATTGAAAAATTGAGAGCAAATTAAAAATAAAATGTTTATTTAAAAAAATTTAACAAAAATTAAATCAATGCAACGGTAGGAATTCAACTGAACTATAATGAAAAAACTCATTTGTGATTATATTACAAATAATTTAAATAAATTAAATTAAAATTACCACTTCTTTAGCTGGTCAGGCTGGGAGACCAGCTTAAACCACCTAAGCCCAGCCAACTAGCATAGGCTGGATTTAGCTGTTGTTGTTTGTTTTTTTTAGCAGGGCATAATAATAATAGTTATAACAGCAGTAGTTGTAGGCAGCCAATTGAACAAAATAAGCTAAAAGAACATGTGACTCTGTCAGTAGCACACTTTACTTTACATATTTTACTGTGGGTAAATTAAGTAGTAAGTAAATTCAGTCTGAAGAGATTGTTTTCTGCAGTGCTAGAATATAGTGTTTTGCTGAATTTATAAGCTGTTCAAAACTGCTGAAATATGCGACTTATGATTATGATTGGGAACTGACATTAGACAATTCGACAGGCAGTCAATCACAGCTGTAAGGATTTTCTACTCACTGTTTGTACGTCACCATGACGATGAGAATAGCAGGGATGCAGCACAGAATGATGATGATGGCCAGCGCCAGCAGAGCCCCCTCTGTGTAGCCCACCGCCTGCGCAGCCTTCTTCACACTCGCCACGATGTCAGGAGAACGGATCTCCAGAATTCGCCCGCCCTCGCCCAGGTACGGCTGGAACTCTTTATTGATGTCCAGAATCTTGCCGTCCAGAAACCTGTCAAACACACATTGAGCAGACATTTTAGACAAGAATTTAAATTTCGATCTTTCCCTTACACAAATATGGACCTGTACAGTAAGCACACCATAATCACAAAAAAACATCCATAACAGCATTAGCACATAAATAAATAAATAAAGTCTGTACACTTTTAGGCTGCACAGTAATACTGCAACTGTATGAAAGAAATTGAAATGCATTGAAAATAAATTGTGATCAAATTAAAAAATAAAATAAATACTGCAAATAAAATCATAAAGCAACTGTAGGAATGAAACTGAACTATACTGAAAAACTCATTTGTGATTACATTAAAAATAAAACAATACAATTAAGTATAAAATTAAATTAAAATAAATGATAAAAAATTGTGTAATTAAAATGTCAAACTGTCAAACCACAGATAAATACCTGTACAGTAAGCACATTATAATCACAAGATTCCGCTCACATACACAGCATGTTTATACTGTAGTAACTATGACAGCCTTGAGATGATTGACAGCTAGATGTTGATAACATTCAGTGTCAATCCAAAGCATCTTCGACAGAGAAGCGGGAACCAAGAATCCTGCTAATGAGGGCAGCATCCGTTCAGCTGTATTTAACCTTTTCCAGTCCGTCATATGAGTTACTAGGCAACTGATATGGAAATCCTCATTCTCCCCTGCATGTGTAAATGGCTTGACTGTGCTAATATCAACCCGAGTTATTATTATTTAATATCTTGATATAGAGCTGTTTAGCAGTGCCACTCCAAAGCAGAGCAAGAGTACTTTTCTCCTCAGTCGACATGAAATGTAAAAAGACTTGGCTTTGGTGACACTTTGTTGATCAATAATGTTTAAATAGACCTGCATGTTAAGTACTTCATAAGTATCCACGGCAGACCAATTAGCTCTGCTGCAGCAGAACACTTCAACAGAAGCACCTAGTAAACAGGACTGTTCAAACACAATCGATTATCCAGGTTTAAAGACTGATGAAAGACTGTGTGTCTTTGATCTATGTGGTCAAACAGACCTACAAAACCACGTGTATATGAGCTCCACATCATCTGAAGAGTTTCCCTTTCAACTTTAAAGAAATGAGGGTGAATAGATTTTGATTTTCAAGGTGAACTGAGTAACTCTGTTGCTATTCTGAATTTACACCTGTAAATTTTGCTCTCCACGTTCCATCAGCTCAATCCAGTTGACTGTACTTTCTTTCTTCTGTGAAACACAAAAGATGATGAAAAATCATCAATCATTGAAAAAAGCCTCACTGTTTTTGTCCCAACAGTGTTGTTTTATACTCCATAGTTGAAATATTCTTCACCTTTGGGGTTTTGCAGAAGAAATGTGAATAAATGGTGACAATTTTCATTTTTCAGTCAGACTGCCATAACATTCAACACGTTTTTATGGAGTTTAACTGAATAACAAAATCAAAAGAATAGGTTTTAATTTCCAAGCTGATTACTGGACTCACACTTACTCACACAAATAAAATAAAATAAAAATAAATGTCCACACACACAAAAAAAATCACTCATCTGTCCTCATCTGTAACAGAAAAACCACAAATGAGATCTTTCTAAAGGCACAATTAAATAAAAAATGAAAATTGATCATTCAGTCTCCCTCATGTTCTTCCAAACCTATATACATTTTTTCTTCCATAAAACACAAAAGAAGAATGTCCTTCATTTCTCCATACAATTCCAAGAGCTCCAAAAAGAACCACAAAATGGGCCACGTGACTCATGCACTCTATTCCAAGTCTTTGTAAGACATACAATGGTTTGGAAAATAGTGCAAGGAAAATAGTTTCCAGTATTTGAAGTAAAGCTGAAATAGCATATGTGTATATAGATTTATATATCAGTATGGTATGTGCTGGTTCACTAAATGGAAAAGGAATGGAACAGACTCAAGCTGGACTGAAGCACACAGGAAACAGAAAGGAGTGATGAACAAACTGCCAATATTTTGTTTCTTTTCTAAATCAAAGACACTGGAACATCATTTCAGATTGTTAGATCCAGGTTTAACCCCTGGTTTTACCCACAAGCCCTTCATCTCTTTGAATCACGTCCCTGTTGTGGAGGAAGAGAAACAGCATGGGTTAACTCACACTGTTACAGACACGCAGTGTGAACGTGCTCAACAATGGCTGCCTGTTTTTAGCACATTTCAGAGTCAATGGGCTTCGAACCAGCAGGATGGCTGGATTCATCCATTCAAAACACCACTGAGAGTGACCAGATGAATTCTGGAGAAAGAAACGAGTTTTGTGAGGGGAACTTTTGTGAATGCTGAGGTACAGCACAGACTGTAAAGCTTTGAGAAGCAGATTTTGAGTTTTATGACCTGAGACACCAGAAAACAACCTTGTCTCCAGCAGAACATATGAAAGGAGAAGGCTGGAAAAAAAGTCAGCAGTCGGCTGTTCTCAGTGAGGAAGGTACATACACACAAACAAACAAACACACAGTCTGAAGAACAGCATGTCCCCAGAGTCAAATGGAGACAGATAATGTCCACACAAAATAATATGTCCTCATCTGTAACAAAGTAAAATTGCAAATGAGATCTATTTAAAGGCAAAGTTCAGTCAAAAATGAAAATTGATCATTTAGTCTACCCCATGTTCTTCTAAACTTGAATTTTTCTTCCATGAAACACAAAAGAGGATTGTCCTTTTTTCCATACACTTTCAAGAGAACCATAAAAGTGGTCTTTGTAAGACTAGTGCTAGGAAAAAAGGAGTTGTTAAATAGTTGACTGAAATGATCTCAACAATTGTTCTATATATAAAATAAAATAAAATATAGAAATATATAAAAAATGTAACTGAAAATTAACTGAAATAATGAGTAAATAATTTTATTTTCTAGAAAAATGACTGAAACTACAATAGAAATAAAGCTATATAATAATAATAATAATAATAATCGCATAACGACTACAACCTAAAATAAAATTAAAAATGAAAATATAAAAATAACAATGGTTTCATTGCTCTCAAAATTCATTTGCAGCTCGGCATCATAGACAACAGAATTAGTTCAAATCTGATGTATGGATGAGATTTCAGAGTGACAGTGGTTGAACAAACAACAACAACAACAATACTACAATAACTTTCCTTTGAATATCTCAGTTGGTTATGTTAAACAATAAAGGAGATTAAATGGAGAATTCTGCTGGAATTGATCAGATTTTTTGCCTTAGACCCTTACATGTGATCTTAAATCTATCAGGATCTCAACAAATTAAATACAATTAAATAGTCATAGATTTTAATACGAGCTAAAACATTTCACATCAAATTCTTGCAAATGCTCTCTTACTGTGCAGTATGTCAACAACTGTTTCATTTATGTCTTTATTTCTCTAAAGAAATGTTACCAGTAACCTCTAAGGCATAACATTTTCATCTGGGCAGCTGCTCTGCTTTGGTAGAGATACAAACAGGAGCAGAACACATCTAACAGTGAACAAAATAAAACATGTATAAGAGTAAGAAGTGTGTCTAGAAAGGCAGAATAAGGCAGGTGGTCTGTGATCTCCTGTGCTTGTGAATATGAATGAGATGTGTGTGTTGGCTCAGTAAACACATATTTGAACAGAATCCTGATGACTTGTGCTGGATCCCAGTGACAGACGCGTCTCCCTGCTGAGTCACGGGGCACAGCAGAGTTTAAATGAGCATATTGCTGTGTGTCTGGACTTCAGGGGGCTTTTCTCCTCTCGACCGAGGAGGACAGGTGCATCCTGTAGAACAGCTGTTCACAAAGCCAGTTCATTTCCTTTTTCTCCTTTCCTTTTTTGCCACTATTATGTAGACTAGAGATATGTCGTGATGGCAAGAGTTTATTTAGATTTTTTCTTATATACAGATATAATAACAATTAGTCAACTAGATGTTCAGGCTGTTTAAATGATTTTGAAGACGAGTTGTTTTGCACAGAAGACCAAGATCAAGCAGTGATGGTAAGATACTGTTTCATTTATGTCTTTATTTCTCTAAATAAATGTTACCAGTAACCTCTAAGGCATAAAACATTCATCCGGGCAGCTGCTCTGCTTTTGGTAGCGATACAAACACGAGCAGAAGACATCTAACAGTGAACAAAATAAAACATGTATAAGAGTAAGAAGTGTGTCTAGAAAGGCAGAATAAGGCAGGTGGTCTGTAATCTCCTGTGCTTGTGAATATGAATGAGATGTGTGTGTTGGCTCAGTAAACACATATTTGAACAGAATCCTGATGACTTGTGCTGGATCCCAGTGACAGACGCGTCTCCCTGCTGAGTCACGGGGCACAGCAGAGTTTAAATGAGCATATTGCTGTGTGTCTGGACTTCAGGGGGCTTTTCTCCTCTCGACCGAGGAGGACAGGTGCATCCTGTAGAACAGCTGTTCACAAAGCCAGTTCATTTCCTTTTTCTCCTTTCCTTTTTTGCCACTATTATGTAGACTAGAGATATGTCGTGATGGCAAGAGTTTATTTAGATTTTTTCTTATATACAGATATAATAACAATTAGTCAACTAGATGTTCAGGCTGTTTAAATGATTTTGAAGACGAGTTGTTTTGCACAGAAGACCAAGATCAAGCAGTGATGGTAAGATGAGGAGGGAAAAGGATCTCGAAATGTTGCAAGCCAGATTTAAACCCGAAATGTCATGTCAGCACCATATAATGTAGCACAGAGGACAAGGCTCTGACTTTTCCCCCTTTTTCCAAATGTTTGTTAAAGGTGTCAGGAGTGGCTGTGTGTTTGGCTTACTTGAAGAGCTCTTGTCTGGAGATGGCTCTGTTGGTGAGAGGATCGATGGCGTACACCTGCAGGTCTGATTTGGTGTAGTCCTCAAGTTCATAACCTTCTCCATGCCGCCGAGGGCCAATCGATTCCACTATCACTTTAGCACCAGGGATCTGATCTTGCACGTAGCGCTCCAAAATACTTGGGGGGGGGGAAATGGGAAATGAAATTACTTTATCTACTTCAAACATTAAAATGAAAAACCCACTTACTTAATTTCTGATACTTCTACTTTACAATCTAATAAAAAAAACAAGCACTGAAAACGATCTATTTTTGCTGAACCTAAAGGGTGAATCTCACAAAATTTTGACACATAAGTTAATTTTATTCATGAATTTCACATTATATCACTGATTATTTTCCATTAATGATCATGACAATAATTTTTTAATAAAAATCAGCATCAATAAGTAAAACAGTTATAATAAATGCTTAAATATTTAAATAATGTGACTTTTCACATTAAGGTGATAGAGATATAAATATAATAGCTTTTTTCTTTTGATTTCGAAATATAACAGAGTTTGTGAATTCTTCCTATAACTCGTGCGTGAAGCATACAGAACATTGAATAAATGAAATTTTACTGTCTTCTAACTGCAATATATACACCTGACTAGTTTTAAAAAAGCAATCATTTAGTCTTTTATTATGATTATTCTGCAATCTACTGAGCAAAGTGGTTCTATTTTGCTTATTGAAATTTGTCATTTGAGCTCAATTCTGTGTTTTAACAATTGAGATGGCCTTTTAAAATCAAAGCAAGTGGGAAAACAAAGGCTGCTGACAGTGCAGGAAACACTTAAATGCCACTCAAGGAAAGCAGCAGTGCAGAGAAACACACCGAGGGAGGAATTCTCACCTAATCAGCTGCTCTTTATTCTCCTCCACCACAGTGGGCGGCACATTAGAGACCACAACCTGCATGTCCAAGGCATTGACAACGGACACCTACAACCCACACAGAATACGAAAGAGACAGAGGATTTGATTCATGTGGTGTAGTTTATATGCACAGGTGATACAGGGCAGGACGACAGAGCCAAAATAAAATGTTTCAGTATAATGATATTATATTTTCTCCAAAATGGCTTAAGAGTGATTTTTTTAAATCAGAGGAATGATAATTTCAAGCAAACATTTACTGTTACCAGGCAGATTCATAAAGAGTTTTGCAACCATTCTTGCTGTTTAAAGCATCACAACTAAAACACAATTAAAAATCAAATTTAAACCTGAATATAAATCAAAAGTTGTAATATTTTGGGAAATGTTATGACATAAACGGTCAGGTGTTCTTGCTTCCACTGAAGCACTGGATGACCATCTGGTTCTTTACTGTATTTTTGATCAAATACATGCAACCATGGTGAGCATAAGAGACTATTTTCAAAAACATTAAAAAATCTTACTGACCACAGACTTTTTATGGTGGTGTAATTTGCAATAAAAAATGTATTAAATTGAAACAATTTTCACACTTTGTGAGTTAGACCCCACTGTATACCATCCAGCTTTAAAGTGCTATTTGTGGTTGTAATGGTCTTTAATTCAGTTGGTCAATAAGGGTGTAGCATCCGGATGTTTCAGAATCACTTTCTACACCAGCAGAAAATTCTACTGCTAGTGGAAATTGAAAATGACACAAACATTATTGACATGATGTTTAAAACCCTTATGTACACATCCGTTCCAAAATCCCTCTTATTTTATTTGGCGTTCATTAGCCAAAAGATTTCCAGGAATTGCACAAGTCACTGGCTGCAACACTTCAGGAGATAAATAATTCAGCTGACACAAAAACAGTTTATTTATATATTCATTACTGCACTAAGTAGTGCACAAATACCATATGCACTCCCGCAAGCAAACATTTATTCAAACATAATGTATTTACCAAACTAAATCGACAGTCTGGAGAGATATTTTCCCTTAATAACAGTGCTGATTGTTGTTATGCAATTTAGACACTTTTTAAATTATTCAGTCAGTGATTTGATTTGAACCCCAAACATTTTTTTTGCATAACCAGAGGAATGAGAGAAAATGTCATTTCTCAAAGTGACGTGTTTTGTGTTCGAATCATCGTTTTGCATGAGGTGCATGAACAAACATACAGGTCAAAGGTCACGTGCACTCACCACCACATCAGCCCTGCCGCTCAATCCCTCCCCATAGTTGTCTGTGGCGATGACCTCAAACTTGAAGTAGGACCGGCGCATGTTTCTGAACATGATGGCACTCTTGATGACGCCAGTGTACGGCTCAATGACGAAACTGTCCTGCCCCTCGGGTGTGGGGGGGATGATCAGTCTGTAGGCCATCTTACTGTAGTTTCCCGTGTCGATATCTGTAGCCTGATACACATGCAGAAACATATATGAAAACGAATATGATTTTGAGAAATTCACATTATCTGGTTATTAGGTCTGTCAAGTGTTTCAAGTGAATCGCACATCAATTTTCCCTGAAAAATTACCCCCCAAAAGATAAAGTCATTATTGTGTTAGATGAGAAAAGCTTTGAATAGACATTACAAAACAGAGCAACAGAAAGAAATATTTTGATTCAACCTTGCATAAAAATAATAAATATTAATGTTAAAGGTATGTTTTTTTTATTTAAAAAAGTAATATTGAAATATGAAATGATGATATGATATATGATATTATGAAACTAAAACCACCAGTAGGTGGCGGCAAGTTACTGTCTTAACGAATGAGTCATTCAGTCATTCATTCAACCGATTTGTTCAAACAGCTGATTTCAAGAAAGGTACTTGCTTGCTGTGGCTTTGTTTGGAACTATTTTCACTTGCGAAATAGAACAAAACAGAGAGTTTTGACAATATTGTTTCTAAAATGTAACAATATTAACTTGTTTATTGAATTATTGCTTAAAATCAATATACGTCAATAAATGTACTAATAATAACTTTAACACATTATTTTTCCTTAATCAATCGCACCAAACTAATGCATGAAATCGACAGAACTACTGGTTATATAAAAGAACTACAAACTAGAATACTTTAAATGCAAGAAAAAAAATAACATTTTGGCCGAACTATCACTTCAAAAGCCTTGCTGGAAGAAATAGAGAATTAAATACAAAAGCTCCACAGCTTCCACTTCAGTGATGACCTAGAAATGTAATAATCCCCATATATCATCAGATTGTACACCTTAATGCTTTTTATAGTTGTTAAAAGACTCAATTTATGAGATAACGGTCACCTTGCGGAAGCCTAACACACAGATCCCGGTGGGTACTTTACAGGGGTCCATCACTTGTCTTCCACATTGTCCGAATGGAGAGAGAAGCTGTCTAAGCACAGTTACTAACATGTGGGGGGAGGTGAGCAGATTTGAACAGCGAGAGAGAGATTGTACTCTAGTGTTGACAGGTGTGTCAGGATGTGAACAGCATGTTCTTCACTGTAAAAATGAAATATAATGTACTGCAGACACCAACACCAGCAGAACATTTCAAACCCCATGAATTATTCACCATCGTTCCAGTGTATTCTGCTGGTATTGTACTTAATAGCACTACCACTCTAAATTTGAAAACACAACAAATCATATTTAATATTATGATTCTACAGTTAATGCAATGCCATATTTAGAGGCAAGTTTAAACAAATTTAGAAATTAGAATGATCTCTGAAGTATCAAGTGGCACTGCAGACTGGAGTAATGGCTGTTGAAAATTCAGTACTGCATCACAGGAATAAATTACATTTTAAAATATATTAACAGAAAATTATTATTTTTTAAATTGCAATAATATTTTACAATATTAATGTTTTTACAATATTTTTAAATAAATAAATGCAGCCTTAGTAAGCATATGATTCTTTCAAAACTATTTCAAATGTACAGTATATGATATATGAATCTTCAATTATTATTCATTAAGTTGGTTCAAACTTTTATGCTTATAGATTTCTCTGTGGAACAAAGAAGGAAATTAAAAAAAAATCTTGATGCCACCATCCTGCATATCTGAACTCTTGCTAAACCTGGACATTTTAGTAGCTGAATACAATTTCATATTACATTTCAGAGGTATTTCAGAGATTACTATGTAATATGTAGTATATATGAACTTTTTATAGTGTTTTGTCCGTTTTTGGTCCCTACAATCTGCCATTGCAAAACATGTGAACAGTCTTCAAAATTTCTCTTTTTGTGTTCTGCACAAAGGCTGACATTAGCATGAGTAAAAAAAGACCAAATGTTTGTTTTGTCAATGGCAAGTGCCCACTTGCCTCCCTTCAACAAATCAGTCAGGACTACAGGGTGAGCGTTATGTCACCTAATTAATATTCATGATTCCAGCCTAAGGTTTATAATGTGCCCACATGACATTTCAGTTCGTTCCTACACTGCTGCCTAGGAATAAATAACACATATACTCACCACAACTTTCAGTACTGTGGTGAAGGTCTTAGTGTCTTCAGTCACTCCTCCGATATAAAGAGACCTTGTGAAGACCGGAGGATGATCATTCTCATCCTGCACGTCGATAAATACCTTCGCCGTGTTCGCTAGTTATATTTAAACACACACACACAGAAGAAACAGACCTTAGTTTATGGAAATATAATCCCTATTTGTCACAGTTTGAATAAAAAAAGCCAGTGTTAATGTAAACACACGCAGCCACTGCAACCCTCTCCACGCTGTGGCAGACGTGAGAAATATGCTCTGTCAGAAAACATTTGTCTTCTGCTGCACTAAATGACAATATATAAAGTCATCTGGTGTAGATCTAAGCACACACAGGGGAAAGCGCAGATGACGAGCTGTATATCATAGCTCAATAAGAGAGAAAAGAAAGAAATTAAGAAAAGAAAAACAGGTGGGGAAGCGAGAGAGAGAAGGTGTGCCAGTCCTGTTATGTACAACAAAATTTACATCAAAGTTAAAACAAGACACATGGCAGGACAAATGCGCTTCACTGTAAAAATGAAATATAATGTACTGCAGACACCAACACCAGCAGAACATTTCAAACCCCATGAATTATTCACCATCGTTCCAGTGTATTCTGCTGGTATTGTACTTAATAGCACTACCACTCTAAATTTGAAAACACAACAAATCATATTTAATATTATGATTCTACAGTTAATGCAATGCCATATTTAGAGGCAAGTTTAAACAAATTTAGAAATTAGAATGATCTCTGAAGTATCAAGTGGCACTGCAGACTGGAGTAATGGCTGTTGAAAATTCAGTACTGCATCACAGGAATAAATTACATTTTAAAATATATTAACAGAAAATTATTATTTTTTAAATTGCAATAATATTTTACAATATTAATGTTTTTACAATATTTTTAAATAAATAAATGCAGCCTTAGTAAGCATATGATTCTTTCAAAACTATTTCAAATGTACAGTATATGATATATGAATCTTCAATTATTATTCATTAAGTTGGTTCAAACTTTTATGCTTATAGATTTCTCTGTGGAACAAAGAAGGAAATTAAAAAAAAATCTTGATGCCACCATCCTGCATATCTGAACTCTTGCTAAACCTGGACATTTTAGTAGCTGAATACAATTTCATATTACATTTCAGAGGTATTTCAGAGATTACTATGTAATATGTAGTATATATGAACTTTTTATAGTGTTTTGTCCGTTTTTGGTCCCTACAATCTGCCATTGCAAAACATGTGAACAGTCTTCAAAATTTCTCTTTTTGTGTTCTGCACAAAGGCTGACATTAGCATGAGTAAAAAAAGACCAAATGTTTGTTTTGTCAATGGCAAGTGCCCACTTGCCTCCCTTCAACAAATCAGTCAGGACTACAGGGTGAGCGTTATGTCACCTAATTAATATTCATGATTCCAGCCTAAGGTTTATAATGTGCCCACATGACATTTCAGTTCGTTCCTACACTGCTGCCTAGGAATAAATAACACATATACTCACCACAACTTTCAGTACTGTGGTGAAGGTCTTAGTGTCTTCAGTCACTCCTCCGATATAAAGAGACCTTGTGAAGACCGGAGGATGATCATTCTCATCCTGCACGTCGATAAATACCTTCGCCGTGTTCGCTAGTTATATTTAAACACACACACACAGAAGAAACAGACCTTAGTTTATGGAAATATAATCCCTATTTGTCACAGTTTGAATAAAAAAAGCCAGTGTTAATGTAAACACACGCAGCCACTGCAACCCTCTCCACGCTGTGGCAGACGTGAGAAATATGCTCTGTCAGAAAACATTTGTCTTCTGCTGCACTAAATGACAATATATAAAGTCATCTGGTGTAGATCTAAGCACACACAGGGGAAAGCGCAGATGACGAGCTGTATATCATAGCTCAATAAGAGAGAAAAGAAAGAAATTAAGAAAAGAAAAACAGGTGGGGAAGCGAGAGAGAGAAGGTGTGCCAGTCCTGTTATGTACAACAAAATTTACATCAAAGTTAAAACAAGACACATGGCAGGACAAATGCGCACAGACACACACACACACACACTCTCTCTCTCTCTCTCTCTCTCTCTCTCTCTCTCATGTTTGTGATTTGTACAGTTTTCCTATCAAAGGCTTGTGATGTGCTCAATGAACTTTAAATTTAACATGAAATGGAGTTTGCAACCCATTTTATTTATGTAATGCGGCTTATCTCTGAGTGAATATTCAATGAGAAACACATTGAACAACAACAACAAAAAATGTACGATGGGATTTTTGCATCCAATTGGATTTGATTGAATCGTGAAATATGGGCCTGATTTTGAGTTTGCAATCGGTTTTGGAAGACTCCTATTAATCTACTGAAACACCCACATTTTTAGGAAGCCTCTTTACTCGACATATCCCAGTGGACATTATACTTTGTCATTTGCAGGACCAGAAAACATTTCCCACATTTTTTACTCAATTTTGGGAGGAAATCTGCAGAATGGATAATGGCTAAATGTGTTAAAGTTTGCCAATTTTCAACCAACTTTGTATTGTTACAATGTAGGTTAGTATATAAACAATGTGTAATGTTTTTTCATGTATGTCCCTTTGTCTCTGTTTTCTCTAGTCATGTAGCACAGATTAAAAAAAAAACAATTCTGCTGCATAGACAGACAACTTTTATTAAAACCCAGACCTTTTATTAAAACCCAAATCTTGCCAGCAGGGAATCACCTCTTCAAACAGGACTGAGAATACAACACTTTTATCGACAACTGAAAGCACGATCAAATCAGGGTTTTAAATTAAAAGTTGACACTGTCAATAATAAAAAGTTGTTTCAGAGGCGGAGCAAGTTATTAGATTTTGGGCATGCACTGAAAAATCGTTCACAGTAAGACCACAAAAGGGTGTAAAATAAGCACATAGAGCCACACACAAAAAGCCACTACTCTAAAATGGATGCATTTCATTAACATTGCTTTGTAATTCAATGTGTGCGTGTGTGTTTCTGTGTCCATCTTAAAGCGATCTGAGCTGTATTCTGCTCTCGTCCTTCAGCACACATCTATGCAGTTTTAATGTACACAGACCGCTGGAGGAAGATCAGACCTCTCACAGGAAGAGGGAGATGTGCTCTGCTCTACCTGTGCTGTCTATCTTTCAACCTCAAAAAACTGCATGAGCTCTACACTTATGACCTTTCCAATAACTCCTGCTCTAACTGAGATTCAGCACATGCATTACAGCACCAGAGAGCTGGTGATCTGCAGTACAGTGACATTTCCATAATTAAAGGTTGTGGTTTATCCTACTGCTGTTATTATTTTAAACAATAAATAACAATAACCAATTACAATAATGAACAAATATTTTGCCAAATAGCAAGTTCAGTTTCATTATCCTATTTTAATAATGTAGTAGGCGAGGCTCTTTATGATTACAAATCAACATTTTAAATAAAGAAATCATGTAAATTAGTTTAACGGCTAAACCTCATACCTAAAAACATATGCACTACCAGTCAAAAGTTTTTCAACAGTAATATTTTTAATGTTTTTTTTTTTTCAAAGAATTCTCTTCTGCTCACCAAGCCTGCATTTACTTTATCCAAAATACAGCAAACGCAAAAATATTGTGAAATATTTTTACTATTTAAAATAACTGCTTTCTATTTGAATATATTTTAAAATGCAATTTATTCCTGTGATCAAAGCTAAATTTTCAGCACCATTACTCCAGTCACATGATCCTTCAGAAATCATTCTAATATGCTGATTTGCATAATAATAAAACATATAATATAATATAAAACATATAATTTGAATAATAATAAAATAAATATTTATTATTATTATTTAAAACAGTTCAGTACATTTTTTCAGGATTATTTGATGAATAAAAAGATCCAAAAATCAGCATTTATCTGAAATAAAAAGCTTTTTTAACATTATACACTATACCATTCAAAAGCTTGGAGTCAGTATAATTGTTTTATTTTGGGGGGGGGTTATAGAAATTAATACTTTTATTTAGCAATGATGCTTTAAATTGATCAAAAGTGATGATAAAGACATTTATAATATTACAAAAGATTTTTGTAAAGATCGCATTATAGTAATATGCATATGGAGGGAAATGTGCTTAATGGTTATGAAAATAACGTCTCCATTAAAAAATTGTAATAGTCCTAAAAATTGGCTTCAATTTCTTATTTCACCCCAAATATGATAAAAAAAAGAAAAATAATGGCAGGTTTCATGAGGTTTAGAATTTCATTTGAAATGTGTGGTCATATGTGTTTGTATATATATATCAGCATAAAATGTTTTGTATCTGTCATTTATTTCACTCTAAAGCTATAAAGTCCTCAAATAAAATCCTTAGAAAAGATGAAGTGTGCTTCAGTGCTGTTCTTACTTTTGGAGGGAGCCCGTAGACTGGCGAGGATGATAGCGAGGGAGTCGGCCTGCACGCGGAGCACATAACTGGTCACGCTCTCGTAGTCCAGAAGTTTATTTGTGTAGATGATCCCAGTGCGGTTATTGACCATGAACTCACCTGCAAACACAAACTGATCAGAGAACGGTTCACAGTGAATACATTAATTTAGCATTGAAGCTTTAAATTGATCAAAAGTGATGATAAAGACATTTATAATATTACAAAAGATTTTTGTAAAGATCGCATTATAGTAATATGCATATGGAGGGAAATGTGCTTAATGGTTATGAAAATAACGTCTCCATTAAAAAATTGTAATAGTCCTAAAAATTGGCTTCAATTTCTTATTTCACCCCAAATATGATAAAAAAAAGAAAAATAATGGCAGGTTTCATGAGGTTTAGAATTTCATTTGAAATGTGTGGTCATATGTGTTTGTATATATATATCAGCATAAAATGTTTTGTATCTGTCATTTATTTCACTCTAAAGCTATAAAGTCCTCAAATAAAATCCTTAGAAAAGATGAAGTGTGCTTCAGTGCTGTTCTTACTTTTGGAGGGAGCCCGTAGACTGGCGAGGATGATAGCGAGGGAGTCGGCCTGCACGCGGAGCACATAACTGGTCACGCTCTCGTAGTCCAGAAGTTTATTTGTGTAGATGATCCCAGTGCGGTTATTGACCATGAACTCACCTGCAAACACAAACTGATCAGAGAACGGTTCACAGCGCCTTTAACTCCAATGATGACTTGTAATTCAGGGTTGTATCTTATTCACTAATCATCTGCAGTCCAACTCAACCAGGAAAACAATGCGCTGCTTAGTTCTAAATTTTATTCTGTTTTGTGTCAAAGAATCACATTTGCACACAGGTTTAGTGAATTCCCTTCAGAGTGAAAACTCACCTCCTTCATTTCCGCTCACTATGGAGTAAAAGACAGTGGTGTTGACGGCTGCGGCCAGAATCATTCCCACAGGCGTCCCGACAGGAGCGCTCTCACTCACCGGACTAAACCTGCAGAAATAAAGCAGAGCAAATGACAAACTTCATTCAGCATTTAAACAACACACAGCTGAGTGCGGTGGAGAACTGTCAGTTCCAGCGCAGATACTGTGACATAAATGTCAGTTTCCTGTTGAATATTGTATAAACATCAGAGCAGTTCAATAGGCCCTCCACCTCCACAAAAGACCTACAGAAAGTGCAGAAAGAATAGAAGGACTTTGCTTTAAGAAGTGAAAGGGTTTAATTACTGTATTTAAAAGCAACACACATGAATCACGGGTCTAAAGAAAAATCAATTTCTAAAGCTTTTGTCTACAACATGAGCTGACCTCTGAGGCCAGCGATTCTCAACTGAAGGGTCAGAGGTCTGTTCTAATGAAAACAATGTTTAATGCAAATAATAAAATGCTAAAACTAGTTTGGTTGGAAAAATAAATACAATTTTAAAGGGGAAGGAAAATAATTTTTGTGGTTGATGTCAAGCACTCAAACCATATACATTACTGTTCAGAAGTTGGTGGTTTGTAGGGATTTGATAGCGATTGTCATGCACATTTTGTCAGTAAAGCCGTAAATCCCCTGCTTTCAGGTGGAGCAGCATTTACTACACAGAGCCGTAGTTCTCTGACAAGCTACGCAAAATCGCGTTCATAATCACAGACGATATAATCGTAGGATTATGAAATCGACGAAATCGTTCGCGATAAGGACAGCTGTTTGCGTATCTTCTCAGTGAATTACGGCTCTGTGTAGTAAATGCTGCTCCATCTGAGAGCACGTGAAAATACCACATTTAATAACATGTTTTTACTCCAAACTCACTTCATAACGTCAGTCGAGTGTTTGAAATAAATCCTTCTGTGAGATGATATGGCTTCTGAAACAGAATAATTAAGGCACACAATATTTAATTGTATTCTAAGCAGTGATAAAGGCTATGTCAATTAGCATTTAATTATAGATATACTTTATTATGATGAAAATTATAATAATAATAATAACTCAGATAAACCATATATTGCCGTAGTCGTGTGTTTATTAATCACGTTGAATCAATGAAAGCAGTTAATTCTTCTGTTTATTTAGCTGCAGCGATAGGCATTTCCTGGATTCCTTCTTCGGGGCATATTTGGAAATGCCTATCGCTGCAGC